GCGATTGGAGCCCTGCATCTTCTGGACGCCCACGCCGTGCTGCTCCGACTTGCGCCGGTGGCGCTGCCGCAGCGACCCCGCGCCGCAGGCCGCCGCCGCCTCCGCCGCCTCCGCCGCGGCCTGACACGCCTCGACTCCAATCGCCCTCGCGTAAGCGAGCGCGGCTTCGGGAGCCGACAAATGGCTGCCGAGGTGCGTCCGCTTGCCGTCGATGAACGCCTCCGCCGTAAACTTCTTGTGGGAGGGGGTGACCCCGCGGTACCCAGACGCGCTATCGGAGCGAAGCAGCACGAGGCCCTCGGCGCGCGCGACTTCGTCGGCCTCATCGGCTGTCAACGGCTGCGTGTTCCGCTGGCGTGCCGCTTCGGCCGCCTCGGCCGCCGCGCGTGCACTGCCCTCCGGGCCCATGATGGTGGCTACCGCGATGGCCGCTTCGGCGACGCTGTCGAACGTGCCGCCGTAAATCGCCGTCCCCTGCCAATGGAAGTGCGCCTTGAACTTGCCTTGGCATTCTTGGACGCCGCGGAAGCCGGTTGCGTTGGGTCCCGGCACGAGCGTGAGACCCTCGGCGGCGGCGCGCGCATGCGCCTCGTCGGCCGTGAGCGGCTGCTCCATGATGGCCGCGGCCGAGCCGAGCGCAGAGAGCATATGTAAGCGGGGTGGGATGTCAGCGGGTGGTACCACTCCAGGAGAGGGCGGCCACTCTGCTGCGAAAACGAGAAAACTCGCAATAAAGAAATCGCACTCCCTTGCGGTGCGGTGGGAGGCCTGTTGTTGCCGCTCTCGCACTCTGTGCATGCAGCAGTGCATTCACGACCACTTCTTCAACCACCGCGCCGAGCTTCTGCTACCCTGCGCGACCGCCGCCGCCGCCACCGCCGCCGAGGGCGAGCCGCTCCTTTCCAGCGAGGCCTTCTGGCGTGTGAGCGGCCCGCTCACCGCGCTGCTGTCGCCCGACTTCCTGCTACCACACCTGCGAGGCGGGAGCCTGCTTGCGCTCGCGGCGACCGCGCTCGACGGAGGCGGCAGTCTCGCGCTCACGCCTCGCGGCGATCTCCTCATCGTGTGCAGTGCACGCCTGTACGAGTCGCTCGGTCTGGCGGGCCTGGGCTCGGCGCACGGCGTTCGGGGCGAGCGGTACTGCGTGCGCCTGCGGTGCCTCGACCCCGCCTTTGCGCCGGGCGGCAAGGCGTGCGCGAAGCTGGTGCGCGCTGCAGCCGCAGCGCCGTCAGGCTCCGAGAGGGCCGGAGCCAGTGTGTTTCCTGCTCTAGGCGCGCGTCGCAGAGCGGCTCGGCCACGCGACGCTGCTGCTGACGTGGCACTTGGAGGGCGAAGCTGCCGCGCCGGCCTTCCCGCCCGAGCTCCGCGCCACCCGATGCGACCTCGCCGCAGCGTCCCGACGGCTGGAGGGCGCGCCGCCGCCGCCGCCGCCGCCGCCGCCGCCGCCGCCGCCGCCGCCGCCGCCGCCGCCGCCGCCGAGGGTGGCGCACGTCGTCCTTCCCTCTCCGACAGCCGCGCGGCCCCTCGCCCGCAGGCGTGCCGCTGCCGGACGTGTGCGCAGCACTCGGGGTCGCGTGGCCAGGCGGTGATGGCGGTGGCGACGGCGGTGGCGGTGATGGCGGTGGCCGTGGCGACGGCGGTGGCGACGGCGGCGGCGGTGGCGGTGGCGGTGGCGGTGGCGGTGGCGGCGGCGGCGGCAGCGGCGGTGGCGGTGGCGACGGCAGCGGCGATGGCGCGGCGGACTTTATCGGCATCGTCGCCGCGCCGCCGCCGGCCGTCGCCGCGCGCCCCGGCGGCGCCGCCGCCCTCCGCCAACTAGGCGCGTGGGCCTGCCATCTACTTAGGGCCCACCCGTTATTGATTATCAGAGAGAAGAGAGCCGCGAGTGGGTCGGCCACGACGCTAATCAATGTTAGCTGATGTTAGCTAAGTGTCAAATTATTGCTAGGCGAGTGGGTCGGCCTGGTGGCGCTCGACGCCCGAGAGGCTCTCGTGGCGGCGCCGCACCCGCCGCCAGTAGGTGAGGGCGGCGGAGGGAGGCAGGCACCGCAGACTTGGTGCGCCGCGCACACCTGTGGTGGGGAATAGGCGGGTGTGGCTTCCTGCACCTCGACGCGCTGCCATTCTGCGGAGGAGGAGGAGGAGGCGACGGCAGCGGCGGCACGCTGCTGGCTCGCTCCTTTGAGGGCCTGCTCGGCGAGGCTGCAGTGTGGCGGCTGGTGGCGGCGGCGACGGCGGCGATCGAGTCGGGGGAGGTGCCGTGGGCGGTCCTCACCGTGTGGGGCTTCGCCGACGCGCCCGTCAGCTGGGGCTTGTCGGAGCACGCTTGCGGCTCTGAGAATGACTTCACGTTGCTGCTGCTGCCCGGCTCGCAGCCGCGGGTGATGTACTCCGTCTCGCGCGATGCTGCCTTCCGGCCGCCGAGCTAAGCGCCTGGCGGCTCCACACTTTCCCTTCAGGGTACAAACTGTCGCGGGCTCTTTCGGAACGAAGCAAAAACAGTTTGGGCGCCAGCTCAGCACTCTGGGGGTCCATTAACAGATAAAGCCGCGAACACCAGATCGACAGCGACGAGAGGCAGAGGGGCGGGGAGGAAAGGGGGAGAGAGGAAGCCAACGCGACGTGCGCAGAGGATGAGGATATAAACTGCGACGACGCAGTGGAGGGGATAGACGAAGGAATCGAGGGGCCGGAGGGGGCTTTCGCGACAGCGACGATGACGACGAAGGAAGGGGAGAAGACGGCGGGGGCGACACGCAGGAGGAGCGAAATTGCGAACGGCCCGAGCAGAGAGGGCGACGGCGGGGCACGAGGGAACAACGGAGACGCTACCGATGACGCGAACCGAGGCACGGGCGACGGCGGGGACGGGGAGGGCGACAGCGACGTCGAGGTTGACGCAACCGTATCGAGAGCGCCACCCAAAAGGAGGAGGACAGCCATGGTGCATGGAGGTCACCGAATGGAGGGCGAACGGCACGATACGAAAAGGCAGGGCGAGGCGGATGGAGAAAGAAGTGCCGAGAAGGCCATGGTGGAGGGGAGGGACGGGAGGACGAAAGAAGGGCGAGGAGGACGAGCGGCCCGCACAGACCGCGACCACACCTCTGGGGTGGTTAGCACGTGCCGACACCCCCCCGATCCGGGATCGCTGCGAGACTTCGGGCTCTGCGGAGTTACTCTCAGCCTCGTTCTCTTCGTGTTCGGCCCCCCACCGCGCTTCACCGCCCTCTGCGCATGTCTTGCCGCCCTAGGGGCTCGGGCCCAGGCCTGAACTCCTCACTGCACTGTTGCAGAATGTCCCTTGTAATGTGAAAGAGTGCGTTGTGTTCTTGTGCGGGCATCCGCTTTCTCTTTTCAGTGTTGTGCGAGTGAGCGCTTGGAAAATTCTCTTTTCTTTTCGTGCCAGTGCGCGGCAGTCCCGTGCCTACTGTAGAGTTGTCCTTTGGAACTTCGCGGTGCATTTCTTTTTCTCGCGATGTCCACCCCGTCGCGCCGCCGCTCGCACCGCCTCGCCTCCGCCTCCACCGCCGCGCCCTCGCCAGACGCGCCGCCGCCCGCCCATCTGCTCGACCTCCCCAGGGAGCTCCTCGAGCGCGTCCTCTCCCGCTGCGACAGCCCCGTCGACATCGCTCGCGTCGCGGCCGTCTCGCTCCTCTTTCACTCGCTCGCGGAGCAGGGCATCCGCTTGTGGGCGCAAGAGCGCGGCTTCGAGCTGCCGCCGCCGCCAGCGGGCGAGGGCTGCGCCGTGCGGTGGCTGTGCTATTCGGCGTTGCTGCACGAGTCCAACCGGCCGGCGAGGGTGTCAGCAGGCGAACGGCACAGCGTCTTCATCGACGGCGAGGGGCGGCTCTCGTCGTGCGGGTCAGCGGCAACGGAGGGCGAGGAGGAGGAGGAGGAGGCATTACCAGACCTCCTCGGCCACGGCGAGGGCGTGACGCGGCTCAACACACCGACCCGCCACCCGTCAACGCTGGGTGACGAGCGCGCCGTGAGCGTCTCGGCTGGACGTAACCACAGCCTCGCCCTCACCGCCGGCGGCGCCGTTTGGAGCTGGGGCGATGGAGACTACGGCCAGCTGGGCCACGGCGACACGCAGCGCCAGCTGCTGCCGAAGAAGATCGAGGCCTTTGCTGGCCAGCGCGTCGTCGCTGTCTCGGCGGGAGATTTGCACAACCTCGCCATCACCGCCGACGGCGCCGTCTGGAGCTTTGGCGGTGCCGGCTCAGGCAAGTTGGGCCACGGCGACTATCAGCTGCAGCTCCTGCCGAGGAAGATCGAGGCCTTCGCTGGGCGGCGCGTCGTCGCGATCTCGGCGGGAGGCAACCACAACCTCGCCGTCACCGCGGACAGCAGCATCTGGAGTTGGGGCCGTGGAGGCATTGGCCGGTTGGGCCACGGCGACACGCGGCTACAGCTGCGGCCCAAGAAGATCGAGGCCTTGGCTGGCCAGCGCGTTGTCGCTGTGTCGGCTGGAAGCTTACACAGCCTCGCCATCACCGCTGACGGCGCCCTCTGGAGCTGGGGCTTTGGAGGGGACAGCCAGTTGGGCCACGGCGACGGGGGGAGCCAGCTGCTGCCCAAGAAGGTCGAGGCCTTGGCGGGCCAGCGCGTCGTCGCTGTGTCGGCTAGGTTGTCGCACAGCCTCGCCACCACCGCCGACGGAGCCGCTTGGAGCTGGGGCCGCGGATTCTTTGGCCGGCTGGGCCACGGCGACCAGCACGACCAGCTGCTGCCAAAGAAGATCGAGGCCTTTGCGGGCCAGCGCGTCGTCGCTGTGTCGGCCGGACGCCGCCACAGCATCGCTCGCGCCGCCGATGGCGCCGTCTTCACCTGGGGCAGGGGCGAGGACGCCTGCCTGGGCCACGGAGAGGACCTGTCGGACCAGCTGCTGCCCAAGAAGATCGAGGCGTAGTCGCCGGGGCCGTGAGAAAGCCCGCGCAGGGGTTGCTCCGGCTTCTCGCGGGCTCAACGAGGAGAGGATTTGGCTCGGCGTCACGGGCGGGGCGAGCCCGAGGGTGGGCGCGGCGGCGGCGGTGGCGAAAGCCGCGGCGGCGGCGCGGAGGAGGCCGCGGCCGCTATGGAGGCGGGAGAGGAGGTGCGATCATGTGTGAGGCTGCGAGGACATGCACATGCAAATGTGAGGCTGCGTTCTGGCTCTTGTGCGTGCCTCGAACACACCACAAACTCCGGCTTCTGAAGTCGTGAGTTTGTGTCTGTTCGCGCGCCTTGCGAGTCAAAGGCAGTCAAAGGCAAACCATGTTGCCTAAAACCATGGTGGATGTTCCTGCTATCGGCGGGGTATAGGGGCAAAGCGCGCGCGTTTTCTTTTCTGGTCAGTGTTGCCGCAAGTTCTTCTTCTTCGCGATATAATATATACATATATGTCTCCACCCCGCCGCGCCGCCGCTCCCCGCTCGCACCGCCTCGCCTCCGCCTCCACCGCCGCGCCCTCGCCAGACGCGCCGCCGCCCGCCCGCCTGCTCGACCTCCCCAGGGAGCTCCTCGAGCGCGCCCTCTCCCGCTGCGACAGCCCCGTCGACATCGCTTGCGTCGCGGCCGTCTCGCTGCTCTTTCACGCCTCGCTGGCGGAGCCCGGGCATCCGCTTGTGGGCGCAAGAGCGCGGCTTCGAGCTGCCGGCGCAGCCCGAGGGCGAGAGCTGCGTCGTGCGGTGGCTGTGCTATTCGGCGTTGCTGTGCGAGGCCAACACACCGGCGAGGGCGGCGGCAGGCGAACGGCACAGCGTCTTCATCGACGGCGAGGGGCGGCTCCGCTCGTCGTGCGGGTCAGCGGCAACGGAGGGCGAGGAGGAGGAGGAGGAGGAGGAGGAGGAGGAGGAGGAGGAGGAGGAGGAGGAGGAGGAGGAGGAGGAGGAGGAGGAGGAGGAGGAGGAGGAGGAGGAGGAGGAGGAGGAGGAGGAGGAGGAGGAGGAGGAGGAGGAGGAGGAGGAGGCATTACCAGACCTCCTCCTTGACCATAGCGCAGCGTTCCCCGCCGCCTCCCTCTGCGCTCTGGCCGGAGACACATTACCCCAGAACATTGCGCATGTCCCGCGTTGACACGGGAGTCGAGGCTATGTAAAGCTCTTGGGGCGTCGAAAAGGAAAACAAAATTAGAGCCGTACATGCGTACAACCCACCACAAAGTCAAAACGGAACAACGCGCGGGGTTATCTTAGATATCCACTAACTACTCGCTTAGGCGGCTCCGGTGGTGTCGGTGTGTGTGCCAGTCCGCGCCAGTCCGCGCCCTTGTCGTGCCAGTGTGCTGTGAGGGCGGAGCACTTGGAGCACTTGGAGTGCAGTCAGTAACCTCACATCCAGGGCCGGGGAGCTAAGAAGACACTTGGAGCACTTGGAGTGCAGTCAGCAACCGCACATCCAGGGCCGGGGAGCTCAGAAGCGCACCCAGCGGGCCGGATGATTGGCATCGGGTTGCGGGCAAGAGAGCCCTAGCCCTGGGGGGTGCGCGTTCGCAGGGCAAGGGCCGTAAAGTTAACACGGGTCTCCGAGGGTTGGCCCCGCGTACCGGGTTTCCCCTTAACTGCAGGACGCCCCCTCTACTCGGAGCTAATGAACACCACCCTGCACGCCTCACACGTCACACCACCACTCCACACTCACTAAAGAAAAGAAACCCGTAGCAAAATCTGGGAGGCGGAAGACGTCCGTCTCGTCGGTTGTGCTCCGGAGATCTCCATATTGATCTCGGAAACTTGCAAACGCAAGAGTGTCTTGGGCGCGCTGCCCATCGGGCTCGACCCATATGACCCGGGTCAGCATGGCGTAGGAGATGTTGCTCGGAGCTGTTTTGGCTGAGCTCACCAGCTCTGCGGTCCATGGTTCGAACTCGGCTTCGCGATCGCGGAGCGACGCTGACGCGCGCGTGTGCGACCACTCCACAGACCACACTCACTCGCGCAGGCACTTGAGTAGACCACCCGCATGAGGGCTCACCCCCCGTCCTCCCAGGGTTCCGACCCCCCTTGATTCGTTCTCTTGCTCGTCTCACGAGCGTCATGCGACGGCCGGTGTGGCCGTTTCCCTCGTTGTGTTTGACAATTTTTCTTGTTTCCCCAGCTCAAGTCCGTCTACGAGCCCACTGTCACCCACGCGTTCTGCTCCCGATCCAAGGCCTGCTTACCATGAGCGACCTCAAGCCGGAGAAGACGATCGCCAAGAAGAAGGACAAGAAGGACAAGGCGGAGAAGAAGGCTGCCAAGTTTGCCAAGGCCGCCGCCGCCGCCACAACAGACACCGCCGACAAGGCGGCGAAAAAGGAGAAGAAGGCGAAGAAGAAGGAGGACAAGGCGGACCGTAAGCGGCCGCGCGAGGAGGAGGCGCACGTGCGCCGCTCTCCGCGCCTCGCACCCGCGACTACTGCCGCCGCGCCAGCCGTTCCAGAGATGGCTCTTGCAGAGGCGGCGCCGTCCGCCGAGTCGGCAGACGCGTGGCGGGCAAAGCACCTGATCGAGTCGTCCGAGGCGCTTCCCGACCCTGTGCGGGCCTTCTCCGACGCCCCCTTCGACACGCGCATCCTGCAGCAGTTCCAGAAGCTCGGGTGGACCGAGCCGTCGCCTGTCCAGGCGCAGGCCTGGCCGATAGCGATGGGCGGCAGGGACATCATCGCGGTGGCAAAGACGGGGAGCGGCAAGACGCTCGGCTTCCTGCTGCCCATCTTCCACCGCGTCCGCGACGAGCTCCCGCTCGATGCGATGACCGGCCCGCTCGCGGTCGTCCTCGCGCCGACGCGGGAGCTTGCGGTGCCTGCCGCCACCGCCACCGCCTCGCGCCTGCCGCCACTGCCACCGCCTCGCGCCTGCCGCTGCTGCCACCGCCTCGCGCCTGCCGCCACTGCTGCCACCGCCTCGCGCCTGCCGCCGCCACCGCCACCGCCTCGCGCCTGCCGCCACCGCCACCGCCTCGCGCCTGCCGCCGCCGCCGCCGCCTCCCGCCCGCCGCCGCCCGCACGCCGCCCGCCCGCCGCCCACCCAGCCGCCCGCCCGCCCACCCAGCCGCCCGCCCGCCCGCCCGCCCGCCCGCCCGCGCGGCCCCCGAGGCTCGAGGCTGAGGGGCGAGAGGCGTGGCGTGCGTCAGGTGCAGATCCACGTCGAGGCGGAGAGGTTCGGCACGCCCGCTGGAGTCAAGGTTGCGTGCGTGTACGGCGGGACGCCAAAGGGGCCGCAGATCGGTGTGCTCAGCCGCGGCCGGCCGGCGGTCGTCGTCGCGACGCCGGGCCGCATCAACGACATCCTTGCGCTCGACTCGCCGCCAGTGACCGACCTGAAGGAGCGCGCCTCTCTCTAGGACCCGAGAGGAGCCCGAGAGGACCCGAGAGGACCCGAGAGGACCCGAGAGGACCCGAGAGGACCCGAGAGGACCCGAGAGGACCCGAGAGGACCCGAGAGGACCCGAGAGTACCCGACAGGACCCGAGAGTACCCGACAGGACCCGAGAGGACCCGACAGGACCCGAGAGGACCCGACAGTGCCCGAGAGGACCCGAGAGGACCCGAGAGGACCCGAGAGGACCCGAGAGGACCCGAGAGTACCCGACAGGACCCGACAGTGCCCGAGAGAAGCCCCAGAGGACCCGACAGGACCCGAGAGGACCCGAGAGTGCCCGAGAGGACCCGAGAGGACCCGAGAGGACCCGAGAGGACCCGAGAGGACCCGACCTGAAGGCGACCGGCCTAACCTCTTCTAGATGGGAGAGAGGCGCGAGACGCACGGTGTCGTGCCACGGCTGCGGCACCGACGCGCTGTGCGTGTGTGGGCGAACGAGGAGAGGGGGAGACGGGCCACACTGGAGATATGGGGAGATATGGGGAGAGGTGGAGAGACGGCCCACACACCGGAGCGACACACAGACACACACAGCGCCGCTCACTGACCGAACTGGCCGCGCCTCCACCCTCCGACTCGGAGGGCGGTGAGCGGCGCCCCTCTTCTCTGTTGACGGCGGTGTGGGGCTGAGCTAGGCGTGCCGCTTTCTCGTGCTCGACGAGGCCGACGAGATGTAGCCGAGATGCAGCCGAGATGCAGCCGAGATGCAGCCGAGATGCAGCCGAGATGCAGCCGAGATGCAGCCGAGATGTAGCCGAGATGCAGCCGAGATGCAGCCGAGATGCAGCCGAGATGTAGCCGAGATGTAGCCGAGATGTAGCCGAGATGCAGCCGAGATGTAGCCGAGATGCAGCCGAGATGTAGCCGAGATGCAGCCGAGATGCAGCCGAGATGCAGCCGAGATGTAGCCGAGATGTAGCCGAGATGTAGCCGAGATGTAGCCGAGATGCAGCCGAGATGCAGCCGAGATGCAGCCGGGAGACAGCCGAGATTGGCGAGGCGGCGCCGGAGGCTCGCCGAGGGTCGTCGTGAGTCGTCAGAATGCATTCTGCGAGAGTGGACTGGCTAGAGCTCGCACTAGAGGCCGTCCTCGCATTCGCCTTCCTGGGACCCAGCGCTGGCTTCTGACTGTCGTTGCTGTCTCTCCCTTCTCGACTGTCTGTGCTCGTGCGTCGTGGGTCCCGGGGGTTGTGTTTTTGGGTGCACTCATAGGCGGGCCGGGACGCTCGACGGGGGCTCCTCGAGCCAACGGAGATGTGTTGACCTCTCCCTCAATGAGCAGGCGGACCGGATGCTCGACATGGTCACAGCAGGAGGTGTGAAGAGACGCTGTTCACCGCCGGAGGTGTGAGCAGGCGGACCGGATGCTCGACATGGTCACAGCAGGAGGTGTGAAGAGACGCTGTTCACCGCCGGAGGTGTGAGCAGGCGGACCGGATGCTCGACATGTTCACAGCAGGAGGTGTGAAGAGACGCTGTTCACCGCCGGAGGTGTGAGCAGGCGGACCGGATGCTCGACATGTTCACAGCAGGAGGTGTGAAGAGACGCTGTTCACCGCCGGAGGTGTGAGCAGGCCGACCGGATGCTCGACATGTTCACAGCAGGAGGTGTGAAGAGACGCTGTTCACCGCCGGAGGTGTGAGCAGGCGGACCGGATGCTCGACATGTTCACAGCAGGAGGTGTGAAGAGACGCTGTTCACCGCCGGAGGTGTGAGCAGGCGGACCGGATGCTCGACATGCTCACAGCAGGAGGTGTGAAGAGACGCTGTTCACCGCCGGAGGTGTGAGCAGGCGGACCGGATGCTCGACATGCTCACAGCAGGAGGTGTGAAGAGACGCTGTTCACCGCCGGAGGTGTGAGCAGGCGGACCGGATGCTCGACATGTTCACAGCAGGAGGTGTGAAGAGACGCTGTTCACCGCCGGAGGTGTGAGCAGGCGGACCGGATGCTCGACATGCTCACAGCAGGAGGTGTGAAGAGACGCTGTTCACCGCCGGAGGTGTGAGCAGGCGGACCGGATGCTCGACATGCTCACAGCAGGAGGTGTGAAGAGACGCTGTTCACCGCCGGAGGTGTGAGCAGGCGGACCGGATGCTCGACATGTTCACAGCAGGAGGTGTGAAGAGACGCTGTTCACCGCCGGAGGTGTGAGCAGGCGGACCGGATGCTCGACATGTTCACAGCAGGAGGTGTGAAGAGACGCTGTTCACCGCCGGAGGTGTGAGCAGGCGGACCGGATGCTCGACATGCTCACAGCAGGAGGTGTGAAGAGACGCTGTTCACCGCCGGAGGTGTGAGCAGGCGGACCGGATGCTCGACATGTTCACAGCAGGAGGTGTGAAGAGACGCTGTTCACCGCCGGAGGTGTGAGCAGGCGGACCGGATGCTCGACATGCTCACAGCAGGAGGTGTGAAGAGACGCTGTTCACCGCCGGAGGTGTGAGCAGGCGGACCGGATGCTCGACGTGTTCACAGCAGGAGGTGTGAAGAGACGCTGTTCACCGCCGGAGGTGTGAGCAGGCGGACCGGATGCTCGACATGCTCACAGCAGGAGGTGTGAAGAGACGCTGTTCACCGCCGGAGGTGTGAGCAGGCGGACCGGATGCTCGACGTGTTCACAGCAGGAGGTGTGAAGAGACGCTGTTCACCGCCGGAGGTGTGAGCAGGCGGACCGGATGCTCGACATGGGCTTCCAGCCGCAGATCGACTCGGTCCTCGCCCGCATCCCTCCGGGCAGGCAGAGCCCCTCTCTCCTCGCCCTCGCACCACGCGGCCCCTACCCGCGACTCTCTGCCGAGCCGCCCCCCCTCAGCCCCGCAGGCAGACCCTCCTCTTCACCGCCACGTGGCCAAAGGAGGTGCAGAGGCTGGCCGCCACCTACCTCCGCCCCGACGCGGCGATGCTCTTCATCGGCGGCGCCGAGCAGAAGCTGGTCGCCAACGCGGCCATCACGCAGACGTTTGAGCAGACCGACGAGGCAGCCGAGAGACCGCCGAGATGTAGCCGAGATACCGCCGAGACACCGCCGCGACACCGCCGAGATACCGCCGAGATGTGGCCGAGATGCACACAGGCTGGACGAGGCCCGCGCTGCGTCGCGGCCCGCGGCGGCGCAGCACCTCCACGGCACGCCAAGTGCACGTGCATGGTGTACGTGCATGTCCGCGTCGGCGGGGCGCCACATCCACGTCCACGACGCGCCCGTGACTCGGCCACATCACGCTCCGCGACGCGTCGCGCAGGCGTCCAAGCCGGAGCGGCTGAGGCAGCTCGTCGCGGAGCTGCCGGCGGGCAGCCGCACGATTGTGTTTTGCAACACAAAGATCAAGTGCGAGAGCCTCGCGCGCGAGTTCCGCTCGGCGGGCACCTGCGCCATCCACGGCGACAAGGACCAGCAGCAGCGCGAGTACGCGCTGCAGCAGTTCACGCGCGGCCGCTGCCCGATGATGTTTGCGACGGACGTCGCCGCGCGCGGCCTCGACATCAAGGGCGTCACCAACGTGATCAACCTCGACATGCCGCAGGGCGACGACGGCGTCGAGTCGTACGTCCACCGCATCGGCCGCACGGGCCGCGCGGGCGCGACGGGCAAGTCGCACACGCTGTGGGTGGCGAAGACGGACCGCAAGACCGCGCCGCAGCTCACCCAGCTGCTCGCCGACGCGAAGCAGGAGGTGCCCGACTTTTTGGCGGCGGCCGCCGCGTCGGCGGGCAAGGGCAGGGGCAAGGGCAAGGGCGGCAAGGGCGGCCGCAGCTGGGGCGGCCGGGGCGGCGGCAAGGGGGGCGGTGGCAAGGGCAAGGGGGGCGGCAAGGGCGGCAAGGGCGGCGGGTGGCGCCGGTGGTGATGCGTCGGCGCGAGGAGCGGCGTCGAGCCAGCACATGTTCGACGCGCCCCCAGTTGTGTGTTCGGCTCGACCAACTTGGTGGTGAGCCGCGCTGCTATTATAGATTGGGAGTTTAGGCATTGTGGGGTTTGCACGGGGGCCCATCAACATCAACGGGCAATACCATACGGGACGCCACGCCCACACAGGCCACGCCTCGGGCCGGGTGTGAACTGTGTGATGTTGACACGTCACATGCACGCGTTGTCCTGTGGACTCAAGAAGCCAGGCCGTGTCATAGCCGATCGGCGCCTACGCGCGCTACGGGAGAGCTACTATGTACTAACAAAGGGAGGGGGGCTCCGGGAAAGCCTTTCGACGCCTCTTAGTCCCGAACCCCGAACTCGGCCTGCGCTGCTGCCTCGCCTCGACGCTCGAGCTCCGGCCCGGCAGCAGCGGTGCACCGAGACCGACCCCGGTTGGCCGCCTCCAAGCCGAGATGTGGATCACCTCGATCCTCGTTGTGGAGGCGCTCTAGCGCTCGCGGGCTGCACGGAGCACGCTGTGTGGACACCGCGCAGCCCGCCTCCTTCTCTCTGCCCTCTCTTCCCTCCTACGCAAACCCCGTTTCTTCTTTCTTTAAATTCTTTCTTTCTGGCGGCTGGTGTACCTGTGTTAGTGTGCCAGTGCGCGCCAGTCCCGTGCCCAGAAAGAATTGCCTCGCTGGTATGCCCTTTGCGACGGCTGCGCGGGCGGCTTGCCGGGGTAGTTCGCGGAATAGCACTCGCTGCCATCCTCTCCGGAGATTCGCCCATTCAGATCCTGGCGTCCAGGCGGACTCGAGGTGGAAGCTCCGGCGGTAGAGGCGGACAACTGTGGATTGTCGCCACCATTCTTACCGTCCGTGCTGTATCCGGCCCACCCCCAGACTGTGGGTCTTCTGGCGGCCTCGTCCAGAGCTGATCTGGTGGGGGAGCTCACTGCACAAGACCGCCTTCCCGCCCTCACGTCGGCGTATTCAGCACGTAGGCTCGTCCGGCACCAGCCGACCCTGCTGCTGCTCACGGACCCTAGAAGCGGAAGATCTCCCCATATCTCCCCGCATCTCCACCATATCTCGCGCCCTAGAAGCGGAAGATCTCCCCGCATCTCCCCGCATCTCCACCATATCTCGCGCCCCAGAAGCGGAAGACGTGCTCTCTTGTCTTCCAGCATGAGCGCCGGCAGCCCAACCCAGCTCGCCGACCTGGCTCGGGGCGACCTGGCCTCGCTGCGCGCCTTCCTCTCCGGGCGGCGGACGCGCGGCACGTCGCTCGCGGCCCAGCTCGACGCGCGGCACGACACCGAGAGGCAGGACACGCTGCTCACCTGGGCCGCTCGGCACGGGCAGGCCGAGGCGGCGCGGCTGCTGCTCGAAGGCGGCGCGAGCGTCGGGGCGACGACTGGCAGCGGCGCTTCCGCGCTGTTCATCGCGTGCCAGGAGGGGCAGATTGAGTGCGCCCGGCTGCTCCTCGAGGCTGGCGCAGCGACGACCGACCAAGCGGATCCTGAAGGCCGCACGCCGCTGTACGTCGCGAGCCTGAAGGGCCATGAGCAGTGCGTCCGGCTGCTCCTCGAGGCCGGCGCGGCGATCGAGCAGGCCAAGCAGGATGGCGCCACGCCGCTGTACATAGCGTGCCAGAAGGGCCACGCCGAGATCGCCCGGCTGCTGCGCGACGCTGGCGCGGCGGTAAGCCAAGCCCGCAGCGACGGCTCCACGCAGCTGCTCATTGCGTGCCAGAACGGCCACCTCGAGATCGCCCGGCTGCTCGTCGAGGCTGGCGCGGCGGTCGGCCAAGCCAAGCAGAACGGCGCCACGCCGCTGTTCGCCGCGTGCCTAAAGGGCCACGTCGAGTGTGCCCGGCTGCTTCTCGAGGCTGGCGCAGCGATAAACCAAGCCAAGGACGACGGCGCCACGCCGCTGTTCGTTGCGTGCCGAAAGGGCCACCTCGAGATCGTTCGGCTGCTCCTCGAGGCCAGCGCGGCGGTCAACCAAGCCACGAACGACGGCGCCACGCCGCTGTTCGTTGCGTGCCGGAAGGGCCACCTCGAGTGCACCCGGCTGCTCCTCGAGGCTGGCGCGGCGGTGGCTCATGCAGACGCTGAAGGCCGCACGCCGCTGCTCGGCGCGTGCTACAAGGGCCACCTCGAGATCGCCCGGCTGCTGCGCGACGGTGGCGCGGCCGTCAACCAGGCCGCGGCGAACGGTGCCACGCCGCTGTTCATGGCGTGCCAGGAGGGCCATCCCGAGTGCGTTCGGCTGCTCCTCGAGGCTGGCGCGGCGATCGACCAAGCTACAGAGAACGGCGCCACGCCGCTGTTCATCGCGTGCGAGACGGGGCAGCTCGAGTGCGCCCGGCTGCTGCGCGACGCTGGCGCGGCGGTCAACCAAGCAGACGCGGAAGGCGTCACGCCGCTGTTCATGGCGTGCTGCAAGGGCCACGTCGAGATCGTCCGGCTGCTCCGCGAGGCCGGCGCAGCGGTCGACCAGGCCAAGCAGGATGGCACCACGCCGCTGTTCATGGCGTGCCAGGACGGCCAGCTCGAGTGCGTTCGGCTGCTTCTCGAGGCTGGCGCGGCGATCGACCAAGCCCGCAACGACGGCACCACGCCGCTGTTCGCGGCGTGCCAGAACGGCCACCTCGAGGTCGCCAAGCTCCTCTCCTCCTACGGCGCCTCCCGCGCCGCTACGCCCTTCGGCACGCCCGAGGAGGCCGCAACCGAAGATGGCCACGCCGACCTCGCCGCCTGGCTGGTCGCCAGCCGCGGCTGGACGCCGCTCGCGCACCTTGAGACCCTCACCGCCGCCCGCGCCACCTCCCTCCTGCGCAGCGGCGCAAGCTTGCACGAGGGCGAGCCGACGCCGCTGCGGCGCGCCGCGGGCGGCGCGGGCGAGGCGGCGGCGTTGGTTCGGCGGGCGGCGACGCCGTGGTCGCCGGCAAGCCACTCGCTCTTCCCCGCGGCGGCCCGCGCGCGGGCGGCGCTCCTCGTCCTCTCGCTCTACGAGATCCACGAGCGGTACCACCTCGACTCGGCAGGAGCCACGAACGGCATCGCGGCGCTCGACTTTGGCCACTGCGTCTTGGGCTTCGCCATCGCGCGCGAGACGCAGTAATAGGGGCCTGCTTTCGCGCGCGGCGGCGGCGCCTGGCGCTGCGCGGTGATCTCGGTCATGCGGATCGGCTATCATGACGCCTTCGGTGGCCGGTTTGATTCTGCGCTCTTCAGGGGAGTCTTTCGCGCGAGGCGCGGCGCTTGCCCAGCGCGTGTGTGTTATTGGTCATGCTGCATAATAGAAAGAAAGAAAACAGACAAGCCAAAAGAGGGGCGCGATGGTGGAGGCAGGAGGCACTGTGCAGACTGCCTAGCAGACTGCACGGCAGTCGGCACGCCGCCACCACAGGTGGATTTTAAATCGGGAAGGAGAGAGGGGGCCTGTCACGGGAAGCGCATTCTCGGAGAGGCTCTTCCCGTCGGGGAAGTTATTGTACGGAGCCTTGCCGTTCTTCTCGTCGAACATGTTGTGCTTGGCCGGGGAATACAGGGAGGATCTTCCCACCAGTGGTTGCGTAAAGGCCGAGCGGCTTCAACATCCCCGTGACAACAGCGTCCCCGCGTCGGGGTACTCGCTGCAGTACGCCATCGCCTCGGGGTTGAGCTCGTCCGGGTTGCGGTTGATCAGGTCCATCCAGCGCTTGGGGCTTGGGCGGCGCGTAGGAAAGGACTGTGAGGTCGACGTTCTCTTGCGACGAGTGCGCGCCGTTGCTTCACGTCGAAGCCCTTTCCTGCGCCCGCGGGCGAAGCTCAGGGCAAGTGGGTGGGGGTGGTGGTGGGGGGGGGGGGGGGGCTTGACGCGGCGTGCCTCGTTGTTGTTCAAGATTTGGTTCATGATGGTTGGCCCAAAGCCTTTTCCGCGGGCGTGACGTTTGGCCCGGACAGCAACTCCCTTGGGGTGGAGGTGTTTTGCACCGACGAGGGCGAGGAGGGCCGGAATGCCCCCGTTGTTCACCTCCAGGTTTCCCTTCGGGCTGAAAGGGCCCCTTCCGAAAGGGCCCTCGAGGTTTGTGATGACTGCCACGACCTTTCGCGCGCCCTTTTTGCGACCACGCTCCACGGCGGTGACGGCGGTGTTGTCAATCGTGGCCCCGTCCGCGAAGAAGCAAGTCTCCTCGAGGGAGGGGAGAACTCTGGGCCGGCGCGGGGCCCCCAGAGGGTGTCCATGCGGGGGGGAGATGGGTTCCCACGGCCCGCCGCAGGGAGGGACACCACAGCGCGGTAGTATGGGTGGGTGGACGCAAGACGGGCGGGGACGGTCACAGGAGTGACACACAGAACCACAAGACAAGACACTTAGATCCATTTATCATTAAGTCATGAACACCGAATAATTTTTGTTTTTCTTGTTCTTTTCCTTCATTTAGTCAACACCACTGTCGCCGTTGTCCCTTTGGCGTCGGGTGTTTCTTTTGAGAGCGCCTTCGTTGTTAATAATACAAGCCCAAGGTCCCTGGTAGCAGCCATCACTCGCACACACACGCCACACCGCACCGCCCCCCCAGCCCCCGCCCCGCAGCGGCCCGGGGGGCCTTGGGGGCAGCCTGCCGGACCGCCGCTGCACGGGGCTAGGCACCAGAAGATGAGTGGAATTGATGAATTGGGCCGTTGTCCGTGCCTCCCCTCTATACGTCAGAGTGGGACCTACGCCGCGCCGGGTAAGGGGCGCGCCCGGTCCTCGACGGAGCCGCGCGCCCCGAACGACCCAGGCGGCGAGTAGTCGTCCTCGAACCTTCGACATGTAGTTGCCCATAGTTAGCGCCCGCCCGCCCCCCCCCTCCGTCGCTTCGCAAAAGAAAAAACAAAATAAAAACAAGCAAAAGAGAAAGCGAAGCCAAAAACGATTGCGTAAACGGCGTCACAAAGCCCGCCGGTTTTGATCGACAATCGTGAGATTGACCGCCGTCGACCAGAGAATGGCAGACGATGTGTCAGCTTGTGCGGCGCTCGCGCCGCGCAGGCTGGCCCATCGAGGGCACTCTCTGGCGCTGTCCGGGCCAAGCGCGGCGCCGCGCATGCTGCGTGCCACTCGCCGTGGCTTGCGGTGCAGCGCCACTGCAGCCTCGAAAACGTCGCGCACAGCACCAGCATGCTGCCCACCAGGCAGCAGAGTGCTGCACCGGCGTGCAGCGGACGCTGCGGCGCTGCGGCACCGCCTCCCCGCCCTGTCCACGGAGCAGGCGAGCGGCGGCACGGCCTTCCACCAGCTGCAGGAGGTGCGCACTTCCCGGTGGAAGCACAGGATGCTCCCTCCGCATACGCAGCTTTGCGCAGCGCAGCGTACGGGCCACGCCACGCAAAGCCGACCCTCAGTCTGCCCAAGAGGCTGTCTGCGGAAGGCCTGGCAGCGTGTACTCACCTCCTCCGCGGCCATGCCCTCCGCCCGGGCGAGCGAGGAGCGGGGACACAACCAATTCTGGAATCGTGTGTCCCCGCCCCCCTTTTTTTTTCTCGCGATGTCCACCCCTCCGCGCCGCCGCTCGCGCCGCCTCGCCTCCGCCGCCATCCGCGCCCCCTCGCCAGACACGCCGCCGCCCGCCCGCCTCCTCGACCTCCCCACGGCGCTCCTCGAGCACATCCTCTCTCGCTGCGAATGCCCCCTCGACATCGCTCGCGTCGCGGCCGTCTCGCTCCTCTTCCACGCCTCGCTCGCGGCTGATGGCATCCGCTTGTGGGCGCAAGAGCGCGGCTTCGAGCTGTCGGCGCAGCCGGAGGGCGAGGGCTGCGCCGTGCGGTGGCTGTGCTACTCGGCCTTGCTATGCGAGTCCAACCCGCCGGCGAGGGCGGCGGCAGGCTATACGCACAGCGTCTTCATCGACGGCGAGGGGCGGCTCTCGTCGTGCGGCTCTACGCCGTCCTACATGCAAGAGCTACTGGGCCACGGCGAGGGCGTGACGCGGCTCAACACGCCGACCCGCCTCCCGTCTTCTCTCCGTGCCATGAGTGTGTCGGCTGGAGCCGATCACAGCCTCGCCCTCACCGTGACCGGAGAGGTCTGGAGCTGGGGCAGCAGCAGCTCTGGCCAGCTGGGCCACGGCGATGAGCAGCACCAGTGGCAGCCAAAGAAGATCGAGGCCTGGGCTTGTGGCGTCGTCGCTGTCTCGGCTGGAGGCGACCACAGCCTCGCCGTCACCGCCGACGGCGCTGTGTGGAGCTGGGGCTTTGGAGGCTGGGGCAAGCTGGGCCACGGCGACACGCAGCCACAGCTGCTGCCCAAGAAGGTCGAGGCCTTGGCTGGCCAGCGCGTCGTCACCGTGTCGGCTGGAGGCGCGCATAGCCTCGCTGTCACCGCCGACGGCGCCATCTGGAGCTGGGGCGGTGGAGCAAGTGGCAAGCTGGGCCACGGCGACACGCAGGAGCAGCTGCTGCCGAAGAAGGTCGAGGCCTTTGTCGGCCAGCGCGTCGTCGCTGTGTCGGCTGGACTCATGCACAGCCTCGCCCTCACCGCCGACGGCGCCATCTGGAGCTGGGGCAATGGAGTCTACGGCCGGTTGGGCCACGGCGACCTGCAGAACCAGCTGCTGCCGAAGAAGATCGAGGCCTTTGCTGGCCAGCGCGTCGTCGCTGTGTCGGCTGGACGCGACCACAGCTTCGCCATCACGGCCGACGGCGCCGTCTGGAGCTGGGGCTACGGATACCAAGGCCGGTTGGGCCACGGCGACACGCAAAGCCAGCTGCTGCCCAAGAAGGTCGAGGCCTTTGCTGGCCGGCGCGTCGTCGCTGTGTCGACTGGAGCATTCCACAGCCTCGCTCTCACTGCCGAAAACGCTGTCTTTGCCTGGGGCCAGGGTGGCACCGGCCAGCTAGGCCACGGTGAGGATTTGTCGGACCAGCTGCTACCAAAGAAGATCGAGGCGCAAGTGGGCGCGGTGACTGAGTGAGAGGTCTCACGCCGAGGGCGGCAGAGGCGGGGGCCAGAGCGGCGCCGTCGCCCTACGGCGGCGCCGCGCACCCGCCGGGTGCTATCGAGGCGGCGCCCGAGGAGTACGCTGGCTTCGTGGAGGCCGAGTGGCTGACCGAGGCGGCCGCCATCGAGCGGGCCGCCGCCTCGCTCGCCGCGGGCGAGATACTGGCCTTGTGGGCGAGCGGCGGCGCCAAGTACGGCCCGCGCGCCCTCGGCCGGCGCTCGATCGTCGCTGACCCGCGGAATGCCGCCGCAGTCGACCGCCTCAACCGGCTGGTCAAGAAGCGGGAGCCCTTCCGGCCGTTTGCGCCGTCGGTGCGTCTCGGCCCGCCGCGCGCCCCGCAGCAGGCGACCAGCCTCCGCTGCGACCAGCTTCTCTCTCGCGCCTCTCTGCAGGTGCTCGCCGAGCACGCCGGCGACTGGTTCAAGGGCGAGCCGCCGCCGTCCCCCTCCTAGACCTCTCCTCCACCTCTCCTCCACCTCTCCTCGAGCCGTCGTGCAGGCGTGCCGCCGTCGGGCTCTCCCTACATGTCCTTCGCGCTGCTGTGCAAGCGGCGCGACGCCATCCCGGCAGTGTGCCACGTCGACGGCTCCGCGCGGCTCCAGACGGCGAGCGGCGAGGCGGAGGCCGCGAACGCCAGAGCACCTGAGCAGCGCCTCTTCACCGCGCATCCGCGTGAACAGGTGGGCGGCGAGGCGGACCCGCGCTGGCGCGCGCTGATCGCCGCCTTCTTCGCTCTCACCGGCGTGCCTCTGGTGCGCGCTCCGCACGACCGCACGCGCCAGAGCCGCGGTGCCACCTCGGCGGACTTGACTGTGCGCGCCGCAGGTGCTCAACACGTCCTTCAACACGCGCCCGGCGGAGCCCATCGTAGAAGGGCCCGCCAACGCGCTCGCCGCCTTCCTGCACGTGGCGTCCGAGGCGAGCGGGGGCGAGGCGGTGAGCGGCGGCGAGGCGGCCAGCGGTGCCGGCGGCAGCGCGCAGGGAGGTGCAGAAGAGGGTGCGGAGGAGGAGAGTGCGGAGGAGGGCGGCATCGACCGGCTACTGCTGCTGCTTGGCGATGGGCGGGCGGCTCTCGTGCGCGCGCGCCGTTGCCCGCTCGCCGCCGCGGGAGCAGCGGCTGCCATCGCTCGGGCCGGGGAGGCTGGCGAGGCGACGCGGCCTGTGGCTCGGCCTCCGGCGCGCTCTGTGAGGCGGTTTCCGTCACGGCGCCACGCTGCGAGCAGGCGCAGCTCGGCGGGCTGCGCGCGACGCGGCGCCCGGGCGTGCGCCCGGCGGGGGGGAGGAGTGGGCGGACGGCGCGGCGGGCGAGTGGCTCGCGGCCGACGGCGACGCGGCGGCCGCCGAGACGTTCACGCCCGACGCGCCGCGGGAGGCGCGCGAGCACCGCTCCACGGCCGTGCGCGCGGCGAGATCTCTCACACCGGGCTGATGTGAGCAGGCGTGGGTCGAGCTGGGCGACGAGCTCAAGCTGGCGGCGCTCGAGCTGTCCGACGGCGCGGAGGTGGCCGACATCGCCCAGGCACTCGACGCGCCGCCCGACGAGGTGGCCGCCGCGCTGCGCTCGCTGTGGAAGCGGCGCTTCGTCGCACTGGAGTGACAGAGGGACCGTGGCGAGCCGCGAGCGCCACGCCTGGTCACACCATGTCCATGTGTGTTTCAGTACGCCCTCACACACCAAACAGGCAAGCTTGTACGGGACACTCGACGCCACCATCGAAGTAGCAAGAGGCAAATTTTGACCCTATATTGACGCCCGGCCGCGCGCAGTGGCGAGTGGCCAGTGCGGACTGATTCCCTTAAAAAGCTGTACAAAGCTCGAAAAGCCTTACCAAACGTTCGCGAGCAACTCGTGCGGGAGCACGCGTGTGCCACCTGGGCCCGCCGGGCTGCGGGCAGATGCGAGATGGCGCCAGGCAGTTGAGAGCGGCCGTCCACTCTTTAATGCAAAATTTGAATTTGCGTTTGTGTTGATGTTGTTTTTTGTACACGTAGGGGGGGATATGGCTCAGTGTAGGAGCACTTGGAGCACTTGGAGGAATAAATTTTCTGAGCTTAGCCTTCGATGTTATGAAAACAAACGCAAGGCGGACATGGCATATCGCTCTCGGGCCCACAGACACCCCGCACAGTGAACTACAGGTAGTGGGGAAGGCAGCCTCGATTGCCATACAGACATGGGTGCGAAACAACGACAAGACCAAGGCACGGGCAGAGGAACGAGAGAAGAATATAGGGTGGATAAAGCGCCTGTTCACGGCATGGAGGGTGAGCCACACCGAACGTACCGAGCGAAGAGCCGAGCGGAAGGAGGACGGGGAAGATGACTCAGAGGAGGACGAACCAGTGGAAATTCAGTTGTCAGATGTCACGATGCACCCGAAGGGGACCCCAGCGCCGGCATCATCCGTTCTCTCCTCCTTTCCTCCCTGCCCCTCTCGCTGTCTGGTGTTAATGGACCCCCTTCCCCTCCCTCGCCACCGTCACCGTCACCATCCCCGTCGCTACCGCCCTCCATGCCCGCCGCCCTTTGTTTCACACTCGTCTCTGCCATGTCCGCCGTCGCCGCCGTCCTGTCCGCTGCGCTCTCTGTGCTCCGTGGTACAGTCGCTTATTGTTGCTCAGGATTAGCTCACGCACCAGGACAGCCTCCTGCTCGTTATTTTGGCTTGCCGATACGGCTTTTGGCGAGTGCGAGTGCAGACGTGAACGGTGCGGGCATCGAACCGGCAGGCTGGGCTTGGCTGCTGCCGCCGCTGAACCATGAAATGTCGCAGTCTGTCTCGTCCACCTCGTCAAATCTCTCCCCCGCTGCGCGTCTCCATGACAGTTAGTTGGAAAGTGATATGACCGCGCCGCGGCGCGAAACACTCGCGATTGTTCACGGTGTCCGCGGCGAGATATGGTGGGATACCGCGGGACACCGCGGGATACTGGGGGATACTGGGAGATACCGGGAGATACCGGGAGATGCGAGATACGGGAGATACCGGGGGATACGCTCGGTCGGCCTCGGGAGTCTCCCCTCTGGGCCAGCGCGGGGGGCCTAGAGGGTATCCATGCGGGGTGTCCATGCGGTGCAGTGCGGTTTTTCTTTTTTTAGCCGGCGCTACCCGTACAAATGTGTATATGGCAGCCCGGGTCGGCACACTCGGCCTTCTCATCGGCCTCCTCAGCCTCGTCGGCTGCGTGCTCAGTCTTTCGCCGCCGCTCGTGCCGATCGCCACGCGACTTCCCGCGCGGATCACGGCGCCGTCCGCGCTTGCCGCGCTGAACAGTGGCCGGCGACCGGCGAGAGTGGCTATGGCTGACGAGCCAGAGGAGTGGTCGCCGCCCGGTGTGTTTTCCAAGGAGAATGCGGGTCCGTGGGCGATCCTGGTCATCATCACCGCCTTTCAATACATGGCGACGCTGCCGCGGGACTCGCTGCCTTCGTGGCTTCAGACTCTGATCCCAGTCATCCTCGGACGGCAGTACGACGTGCCCATGTGAGCGGCCAAACACACCGCCGACTGTCCGCTAAGCGCCGCACGCCAAACACGCGTCGCGTTGTTTCTGCGAAAATGGAGGCGCCTCTCCGTTACGGCCGTCTGGAGAGGTTTGGCCAGGGGCCGGGGCTGCTCCGCTTTTTTCTTCGCACATCACTTGAGAATCTCTCCCACTCGCGCCCCCGACGCCGCGAGAGATCCGCACCCAGCTCGCGCGCGACCGCCCGGTGACTAAATGGTGGTCACTTGTCGTTCATTGTCTTAGTAAGATGACCGTGCAGGTGCAGCACGTGTGGCTTGACACAACAGGCTTCGCGCACACACGACACACCCCCTCCCTCCCCCAGCACACGACCTAGTCACCTACTCTCTCCTTGGCTCGCGCACCGGACTCGCACCGGCAGAGCCGCGTGCGGACGAGAGTCGCCTTCCACCCGCTCGCGCACACTCCAACCGACAGCACACCACCACCACGCCACGCGCCCGAGCTAGGAGCCGTCCTTTCTCTTGCTCCCCCAACTGCGGTCGTCAAGCCGCGTCAGGCGTCCCCCGCGGTCAAGCGTGTAGGCCGTGCGCGTGATCGGCGGCACCGGCCGCGGCAGCAGCCGCGCCGACCTCACGCCCGCCGCCCCGTCGGCCGGCCTACTCCTCACGACAGAGCGGCGGTGGGTGGCTGTGCGCGCCTCGCCTCTCGCCTCCGAGGGGCGGGGCGCACTCGGGCTGCTCCGAGGCGCCACGCCGGCCTGCGGAGTGAAACGTTGCGCCACACTCCAAACGGGAGGGGGGGAGGGGGAGGGGGGAGGGGGGAGGGGAGGGGGGAGGCGGGGGGAGGAGAGGCGGCTCGCCGAGATTCATCAGCCGCATCGCACCGCTCCTGCCCGCCGCGCCGTGCCGCAGCCGCGCCAGCGTGGCGCGCACAGCCCGCGTCGTCGCACCGACGTCGGTCCCGACCCCGCCCTCCGAGCAGGCTGCCTATCGGCACTGTCCCCGACATGTCGTGGACGTCTCCTGGACATGCCTCGCCGCCCTCCGACAAGGCTGCCGACGACGGCACGACCCGACGCCACGCCCCGCCACCCTGCCCCTGACGTCCGAGGGCCTCTTCGCCGACAGCGACTCACCTGCCCTATTTCCTCACTGCGGAGCCTCCCCCCGATC